ATTATACCAAAGTGAAGAATTAAAAGTTTAAAGGGAAAGTGTCTAATGTTTTACTATCCATATAAATCTCTTGTTTAGTTAGCTAGGCCGTAGAACATCATTGGCATTCTCAAATATTTCTTATTTAGTAATGACATGTTGCCAGAAGTCCAAATAGAGGCATTCAGAGCTATAATGCATGTGTGTTTTTCTAATGAATGGTTCATATTAAAAAAATGTTAGAATGCCTTTCAGATGAAAAGCACTTTAAATTCAGCAGATCTTTTTTTTTTTCTCAATAGGCAGGAACTTATTAACAGAATAATACTGGTAACACGTATTTTTCAAAGAAAATAATATCTCTGTTAAATGTACGCTGCATATCTTCTTATCTTGAGAAAAAGTAGGCCTAGTAGTCATTTATAAATCAGATAGCTTGTTTTCAACTTATATTGGTTGCTTTGTTAACCAACTTTTCAGTATTGAGACAAGTGAATATTGAGCGAACAGAGTCTAATGTGGTCTAGATTTATGCCTTTCTACCTTTTCCCTTAGCTATCATTGTTACCATATGGTTAATGCCTTCATCATCCCAGTCTCTCTTAGTTGCAGTAAGGGTGCTTTGCACATGAATGACAGCACAGCATTGGGTACTTTGCATAGCAGAATTTCATCTCTATCCTTATATGTATATACTCTTGATCCTTTAGTACTCTCATTTTAAGAGAAGTCTTTAATAAATCTTTAAATCTAGGCTATAAACTTTTACAGACAAGCCCATGTTTATACCTGTTTTAGTGATTAGAATAGAAATCACAGTATATTAGGTCCTTATTGATTGTTTAATATTCAGGCATACCTTACACTACAAAAAGAAGATCAACAAATAGGATAATGTAGAAATCTTGGTTAATAAATCATTTATATTACTGTCTTTGGAAAACTATTGGATTTTGTACATAAATGCTATTTAAAGGAGGATGTTGGCAGACAGTAACAGGAACTACTACTATTATGTATCTGTTTCCTTGTGGGCTAGAAGGACATGGATCAACATTTCTGATTATTTAATATTTAATACATAATTTTTTAAAAACTGAATACTTCCTAATAATCATCTTCCAGATAAGAATTCACTCCTTTAGTCCATTGTATTCTTTATATATTTATGTCACTTATTATACTTAGTTCTTTTAAAAAATTTATTTAAAACACACAAATTTCATGTATTTCATATATACAGATTCAGGAACATACTGATACTTTCCACCCTCCCCTCCTTTTTGCTCTGGCTCCCACCCTTCTTCCTCCTCCTTCTCCTATTCTCATTCTTATTTTTTAAAGGTCTATTTTTCAGCTAACTTTATACTCGTAAGAGTAACCTACACTAAGTATAAATTACAACAAATATTATGAAGAAAAAAAAAAAAAACGATGTTACTCAACAGTTGAGACAAGAGCTGTTAAAAACCATGACATCTCAAAGTCTCAATTTCATTTCTTCACATTACCTTTTAGGTACTCTGTTAGTTTCCACAGATCAGGGAGAACATATGGTATTTGTGTTTTTGAACTGGTTTATTTCATCAAGTGTAATGGTTTCCCATTTCATTAATATTGTTGCAAATGACATGATTTCTTTTTTTTTTTACTGCTGTATAGTATTTCTTAGTGTATGTATACCATAATTTCTTTTTCCAGTCAACAGTTGATTTTCTATTTTAGCTATTGGAAATTGAGCTGAAATAAATATGGGGAAACAGATAACTCTTTCATATGCTGATTTCGTTCATTTGGGTAAATTCCCAGGCGTGGGAAGGCTGAGTCATATATTAGGTCTATTTTCATATTTCTTAGGTATCTCCCAACTGTCTTCCACAATGGCTGTACCAGTTTACGTTCCCACCAATAGTGGATTAGGGTACTTTTTTTTTCCCCCACATCCTCATATTTGTTTGTTGATTTCTGTATGAGAGCCATTCTAACTAGGGTGAGGTGAAACCTCATTGTGGTTTTGATTTGCACTTCCCTGGTGGCTAATGTTCCTGAGCATCTTTTCATGTGTGTATTGGCCATTTAAATCTCCTCTTTTGAAAAATGCCTGTTCAAGTCCTTTTCCCATTTCTTAATTGTTTGTTGTTGAATTTCTTGAGCTCTGTATACATTCTGGATATTAATCCTAAATAAGTTGCATAGATTGCAGATATTTTCTCCTATTCTCTTGGTTGCCTCTTCATTTTGTTGAGTGTTTCTTTGGCAGTACAGAATCTTCTCAGCTTGATGTAACCCCATTTGTCAATTTTGATTGTATTTCCTGTGCTTCTGGGGTCTTTTCCAAGAAATCTTTGTCTATGCCAATGGCTTGCAGAGTTTCCCCAATGTCCTCTGGTAATTTGATGGTATCAGGTCATAGATTTAGGTCTTTGATCCATTTTGAGTGGATTTTTGTGTGAGGTGTAAGGTAGGAGTCTTGTTTCATACTCCTGCACATGGATCTATTTTTCATAGCATCATTTGTTGAAAAGACTGTCCTTGCTCCAGGGGTTGGTTTTAGCTCCTTAGTAAAACTTAAGTTGGTTATAGATGAATGGATTGATTTCTGGAGTTTCTAGTCTGTTGTATTGGTCTATCCATATGTGTTTGTGTCAGTACCTGGCTGTTTTGATGATAACTGCTCTATAATATGTCTTAAAATCTGGTATTGTGGTACTTCTGACTGTTTTTTGTTATATAAGATTGCTTTAGCTATTGGGGGTCTCCAGTGTTTCCATATGAATTTTAGCATTGTTTTTTCTATATCTGAGAAGAATGTCTTTGGTATTTTGGTTGGGATCACATTATATCTGTAAATTGCTTTTACTAGTATGGGCATTTTGATGATACTGATTTTTCTAATTCATGAACATGGAAGATTTTTCCAATTTTTTGTATCTTCTATTTAATGTTTTATAATTTTATCATGGAGATCTTGACATCCTTGGTTAATTTTATTCTAAGGTATTTAAATTTTTTTCAGCTATTGTGAATGGAATTGATGTTAGAAGTTATTTCTTAACGATAGCCTTGTCTGTGTGTACAAAACTTTTGATTTTTCTGTTAATTTTATATCCTGCTGCTCTTCCAAAAAAAAAAAAAAGACTCTTTTCAGTTTTAATAGTCTCCTTATGGAGTCTTTTGGATCCCCTATATATAGAATCATGTCATTTGCAAAAAGGGATAGTTTGACTTTCTCTTTTCCAGTTTGTGTCCCTTGTATGCAAAGATGGTTCAACATTCACAAATCAATGAATGTAATACATTTAACAACCTGAAGAACAAAAACCATGTGATTATGTCAATAGATGCAGAGAAAGCATTTGATAAAATATAATATCCTTCCATGAAGAAATCCTCAAGCAAATTGAATATAGAAAGACATTCCTCAACACAATTAAGGCAATTTAAGACAAACCCACAGCCTGCATCTCATTGAATAGAGAATGGTTGGAGCATTCCCACTAATATCCAGAACGAGACAAGAATGCCCACTCACACCATTGCTATTCTATATAGTCCTGGAAGTTTTAATCAGAGCCACTAGGCAAGGAAAAAAATCAAAGATGGATATCATATGTTTCCCCTGATCTGGGATAACTAATAGACTACCTAAAATGTAATGTATTGGAGTGAAATGGACATTTTGAAATTTGACTGTTTACAGCCCTGGGCTCTACTGTTGAGGAACATTGTTTTCTTCTTCATACTATTTGTTGAACTCTTTACTGAGGGTAGGGTTAATCTTCTGATCATTAAGTAAACTGATAATAGATCTTTGTAAAAATGAGGAGCAGGAGTAGGAGAGGGATAAAGAAGGAGAGTTGGAGTGTGCGCAGGAGGGAGGGTAGGATGGGAACTATCAGTGTGTTCCTGAATCTGTATATATAAAATACATGAAATGTATAACTTAAATAAAATCTTTAAAAAAGAATAAACAAAAATCCTTTAAAAAAAGAAAAAAAATCAAAGGGATACAAATTGGAAAGGAGGAAGTCAAACTACCCCTATTTGTATGCTAGAATGGATTTTCTGTTATATCATTCAGAGAATGTATATTCAGTTTGTTGTTAGTAATTAACCACCCCAGTCAATTTCTTCATATCTATTTTCTAGATAACAGTTCCCTAGTTTATTTCTATATTGTATATTATAATTCTTTAAATCAAGGATCTTATACTTCTTTACATTAAATCTCAGCTTAGACCTGTCCTTCCAAATCCCCAAGTTGTCCATATCCATCCATGTGCTTGATTGATCTTTCCTTCTTTGCTTTTTAATCCATACTAGCTTTGTGTCATCTGTAAATTTTGTCATACTTGAGTTTACATTCTCATCTAGGTCATTAATGAGTATGCTGGTCAGACTAGTTCTTGTCCTTATGGGACTGTGCTGAATATATTGCTGATGTACTTTGTTACTATGTTGATAATAATTCATTGCTTCCTTCCTGTGATAGAATTCTTTATCTACTATGCTATATGGTTATTGAGATAATACCTGTACCATCTCTGCTTTCTTGATGTATCTATATCCATCATCTTATTGTAAGATAAAGATAAAAATCACTGTGTTCCCTTATCTATCTATGCCATTGCCTAATTTAAAAAAAGAAGTTACTCGATCTGGGAAAATATTTTCTTTAAATAGAAATTTCACAAAAGTTTCCATCGAACATGAGTGAGTTTTTAAAAATATGTCAAGTGTGAAAATATTTTGGAAGTGCTGCCTAAGTCTTTGCTAGTCTCCATGGAAAAAGGTCTCTGATTATTCAAATTTTAAGTGAAAGAATAATTATTTTTCCTACTGTTAAGATGATTTAAATATGCTTGTTTATATTTTCCTGAGTATGAATCATATTTTCAGTATATTAGTATGTTTCAAGGTAGTTTCCTAGATGAGACACAGTAGATCTGTGAATTCATAACGTGATGAAGAGCCTTGTATTTATTTATTTTTAAAGTTGCATTTCTTTCCTTTATCTTCAGGAAAAAGAAGAAGTAGAAGGGGTATCAGTAGGTGCTATACTTTCCGACTATCAGCGTGTTCGAGTAGAAAATGTGTAAGAGAACATTAAATTGTCCTATGTTTTCAAAGTATCTGTGTTTTAAGAATGTGAATGAGTGTAAAATAAATGATTATATCCAAATCATATATAGATAGGATATTCTACATGGCCTGTAGAACTAAATGTTATGTTTACCTAAATAATAAATGTTACATTATTACTTTTTCCTGTCCTTACATCACACATAAGAAAACTCTTTAACAGTGTGCAGAAAAATAATTTGTAGTAAAATATTGAGGGAAGAATTATATTCAGGTTTTCCTTATTTGATTTACTAAGCCCCTTTAATTTCTTTTAACTCATCATAATTCATCTCACTTATAATACAGATCAGGAGCTAATAGAAGGAATACTGTAATATAGTAAGAAAAAATTTGTGTTAAGGGATCTTTTTTCTCTTTGTTCAATAGAGTCCAGTTCTTGGCCAAAAATATTCGTATGATTTAAATACAAACAAACATACACACGTGCACACACACATGCACACACACACACACACACACACATATATATATATACCCCCATAAACTTTCGAAGTATTTTAACATGATTTATGTCTTCTACCATTCTCCTCCCCTAAGGGATGTAGCGCTAATTTAATGTTCAGTCTGTCCACAAATATGAAAACAGTCAACTCCATTGATCTATTCAAAAATAATAAGATTAAATAATAATGTTTCTTTAATGTTGGCTTGGGAAACTATCATCTGAATGAACTTATTTTTCATTTTTATTTTGATAAATATTAAATAGCAATTTTGTGCATAATTAAACATGTTTAACAAGCAAGAAAATATGGACACCAGAATTTATTTGGAATACAACTTGACGTGAGATAAATGATTTTGCCATTCAAAAGAGTAAATGGAATTAAGATAAGGGCAGCATTTATGATATAGTTTTTTGTTCTTGAAAAACCTACTGACTATCTCCTTAAAAACGTTTATAAAAGTGGACTTGAAAACTTAAGTTTAATTTTTTTTTAAATTTTTTGACAGGCAGAGTAGACAGTGAGAGAGACAGAGAGAAAGGTCTTCCTTTGCCATTGGTTCACCCTCCAATGGCCGCCGCGGCCGGCGCGCTGCGGCCGGCGCATCATGCTGATCTGATGGCAGGAGCCAGGTACTTCTCCTGGTCTCCCATGGGGTGCAGGGCCCAAGTACTTGGGCCATCCTCCACTGCACTTCCTGGCCACAGCAGAGGGCTGGCCTGGAAGAGGGGCAACCAGGACAGAATCCGGCGCCCCGACCGCGACTAGAACCCGGTGTGCCGGCGCTGCAAGGCGGAGGATTAGCCTAGTGAGCCGCGGCACCAGCCAGAAAACTTAAGTTTAATTTTTAATTCATTTATTTTCTCTTTACTTCCACTGTGTATTGAAAAACATAAAATTTTATAAGTAATATAAGGGAAAGCTAGATAAAGCATAGTTATATGGTGAGTTCACATTTTTAGTGCTATATCAGAATCTGGACAATGGAGGATAGAAGTAGAGTAAGTTGGAAGGAGGTCAAGCATGCAAACTTTGAAAAGTTTTCCTTACCTTCTGCCTGCCTACATTTGTGAGCAACTGGTATACAGATGGATTGCATATCCTTATTCTCTATGTTAGAAAAATATTATTCTCAGGGCTGGCATTGTGGTGTAGCAGGTAAAGCTGCTGCCTGCAATGCCAGCATCCCATGTGGGTCCTAGTTCATGTCCCAGCTGCTCCACTTCTAATCCAGCTCCCTGCTAATTGCATGGGAAAAGCAGCAGAAAATGGCCCTAGTGTTTGGACCCCTGAAACCCTTGTGGGAGACCCAGAAGAAGCTCTTTGATCCTGGCTTCTACATCCTGGCCATTGTAGCCATCTGGGGAGTGAAAAAATGGATGGAAAATCTTTTCTCTCTCTGTTTCTCCCTCTCTCCCTCTCTCTCTGTAACTTTGATTTTCAAATAAATACATCTTTTTTTAAAAAAAATATTCTTATCAGTTTTAGGTCATATTTTCAGAATTATTTAGTTTCGTTATTAGTATTTATTAATAAGCTAGTTGGTAACCAAAGTAGAGGCAGGGATAACATCTATTTAGGAAGATTAAAAAGCCTAATGAAAATATGCTGCTGAGTAGGGTTCCCAGAGAGAGAGCAAGACAGAGAAGAGGAAGAGAGAGAGTGAGATCATTGTGGGCTAGAATAGTCAGCCAGGCAACTTTACACCAGTTAGTGATGATATTGTTATAAATAAATCTCAGAGATACCAGGAATGATGAGTTCTGATCTCAGCCACTTTGTGATTTGAGCAAGTTGATTGACTCTCACTACTCTACTGAATACTTATTTTATCCAGGCATTGTACTACATTCTTTATCCGCATTACCTTAATTGATTAATCAATTATATTTCTCCTTGAGAAAACAGGATCTTGAAGCAAGTGAGGAAGATTGGGAACTCAGCTAATATAATAGTTTATAATAGTTAAGAGGAAGCTGTCAAGGGGTGATGATATAGAGTGAGGGGACAGTGGTAGGAGACAAAATATGAGAAAACTAACCAACAAGAGATCCATGGAGATCTATTGCAAGAATTTTTACCTGGAATGATAGGGAACGAGTGAGGGGTTTTAATCAGAGGAATTACATGATCCGTTTCAAAATTTAAAAGAATCACACTGGCTACTGTGTTGAAAACAGATTTTAAGGTAATAGATAATAACAGTTCAGACCAGGGAGTTAACAGTGGTATTGGTAAGGAATGATTATGATATATGAAATGGTAGGTTGGATATGGTATGTGAAGAAAAGAAGAAGAAAGTTTGACTTAACTTTCTAATTTTCTTAGGAACTTTGAAAGCCAATATTTTTGTTTCTGTTTATGAAATAAGTAATAAGTGCAAGGACTTATAGCTTACTTGACTTGCTAAACACATGCAGCTGGAGTGTAGAATGAGGTTTCAAACCCGGATTTGTCTGGACTTCAAAACCCATATTTTTTTCTAGTGTACCAATAATAGTATACTACTTGTAGTGCATTAGGTACTCAATGAATTGTGCATTTGTTCTGATTATTTTCTTTTCAAATTCTTTAAAAATAGGAACATCTGCAGATAAGAATAATCCAGAAAATATAGATGCTATAAATTTAATCAATATGTGATTATTTTATTAGGATTAATTTTTTGCCTGTTTTGTATATCTTCACAACTTTTAAATCCTTGGATATTTTTCAACTTTTATTTAATAAATATAAATTTCCAAAGTGCAACTTTGAATTATAGCGGCTTTTCCCCCATAACCTCCCTCCCACCCACAACCATCCCATCTCCCACTCTCTCTACCATCCCATTCTTCATCAGAATTTTCAATTATCTTTATATACAGAAGATCAACTTAGTATATACTAAGTAAAGGTTTCAACAGACTGCACCCACACAGACATGCAAAGTATAGAGTACTGTTTGAGTAGTAGTTTTACCGTTAATTCTCATAGTACAACACATTAAGGACAGAGATCCTACATGAGAAGTAGGTGCAGAGTAACACCCGTTATTGATTTAACAATTGACATTCTTATTTATGATGTCAGTAATCACCCGAGGCTCTTTTCATGAGCTGCCAAGGCTATGGAAACCTCTTGAGTCCACCGACTCCAACATTATTTAGACAAGGCCATAGTCAAAGTGGAAGTTCTCTCCTCCATTCAGAGAAAGGTACCTCCATCTCTGATGGCCCGTTCTTTCCGCTGGGATCTCACTCACAGAGATCTTTCATTTAGGTCATTTTTCTTGCCACTTTTTTCTTGGCTTTCCATGCTCAGAAACTCTCAACCCATGGATATTTAAAAGCCGGAATTATCACCCATTGGCGTTTGTAAGCTTTTTAAGCTCTTTTACATAGATCTAAACTTAGAGACTTACTAAAATTAATATTTCTGGTCTGCCTAGAGATTTCACTTTTATCTGTTTATGCGTGGCCCAGGGAAGTTAAATATGTTTATGTTATATATATAAACCTCATTATGCAAAACATGTTTTTTAAATTACTTGAAATGCTAAAATTCTTGAAAGAAGCATTATGTTTAAAATCAAAGTAATTGTTATGGATCCAAGCAGGGGACATTAAGATATGGTCTGATTTTTTGTTTCTTTTTCTTGTGTAGGTGTAAAAGGCTCAATCTCCAGCCTTTAGCTTACCTTTGGCAGAGAAACCAGGAAGATTTGCTTCGAGAGATGATAGCATCTAACGTTCAAGCAGTGATCATCAAAGTTGCAGCTTTTGGTATGTAGCCAGACTTTCAAGGGAGTTGTCAGTTACCTCATAGAAATCTCAGTTCACTAGTAAACATTTAAAATGAAAAAGGCAGAGTAATTTAGAATATAAAACTATGGAGTCAGAAACAGAAAAAGTTGAGTAAGCACATTGTGTGAAGAAGTTATAAAATGGCCTTCTGGCCATTTGTCAAAGTAATTAATGGTGAACTTTTTTTGAGCATATAACTGATTCTAAAACGAATATTGCATTATGGCCTTTTAATTTACATTCTTCTTATATGATTTGGAATTCAGGTTTATAGGAAAATAGGAAATACTATGAAGAGTTTCTGTGTAGACTTTTTTGGTAAGCCTCTTGAAGTATGTATTTTACACAACATGATATTTCCCTGTATTTTTAAACAAATTTTGATAATACTAAAGTAGAATGATTAGTTTTCTTTGTGTTATCAAAAATAAACATTACTGGGTTTTTGTTGAGGATATGAAGAATCATGTTTGAGAGCATGTTATTTGATCAGTTAGTGTAGACACAGCAGGCAGGTGGTAATCTGATTCAAGTATGGATATTATATATGAATACATTTAATTTGTTGTTTTCAATTTTATAATTATATTCATTTTTGAGAAACCAGAGAATTTGAGTCCAATATATTTATTTCATGAACCTATTACAGAAAATGCCCTGGAGCTTCAGGGTTCCCAAAGCCTAAATCATGTTCCTCATTTGAGAGTGTTTGCCTTGCTGACTCTGAAATAATGAGGTCGCAAGCTGTGGAAGACTTTACAGATAAATTCACATTTTAAACAGCATTAAAAGAAAGGGAAACAGTACAGATTCCATAACATTTCTCCTTTGTAAACACACCAAGCTTTTCTCATCTTGTTGAGATGTTGTCTTTAGTGAAAAACTTTAGAGAACATGTTGCTTGGCTTGGCTGTTAAAATGATAAAGATTGAGGTGATGTTATGTTCTCATTTCTGAGAAAAGGCTGCTGAACAACTCTCATAACTAAAGCCATCACTGTAGATATATTTGTTGTAGGCATTTCTATGTGAATCTATATAGAATACACTGGCTTTCTCTCTGTCCCTTGTTCTCTCTGTTGGGTTTTCTTAGGTTGCACAGTTCTGTAATGAAATTCTCATGATACCCCACTGGAAGATACACATTCTCTCCCTGTTACTACTGGATGATGGACTATATTAAGATCTAGAGAGACCTGCTTCAATTGAAAGACAGACCCATAGAATTTAACCTTATTGCTACTTTTATAATAGTATATAACTAATATTTTGTTATTTATTTGTGTATATGGTACTCTGTAGGGGTTACAAGTGGTAAAGAACTGTAGTAAACCTTTGAGTAAAGTATAAAACTAATTTTTTTCTTGGCATCTCAATAAGAGCTGATTTTAACATTTACTGCACATAGTTTCTATTGATTATCTAAAGGTGTACAAAAATGAAAGTTTATTCTTGAATGCAGTATTAAAGTGTTTATTGACTCACAGAGTCCTAAAGACATAGAAACACATAAGTGATGCAATATAGCTTTCCAAGTTTTTTCACCTTTCTAAAATTGTCACATAAGGATTTAAGCAAGAATTGGGACAGTAAGACCTTTCCGTGGGAGGAGATCAGTAAAATGTTGTGGCCCATTTTTCCACAGGATGATCTTATACCAGAAAAGAGTTAGTTTTACATGGATATACAAAAATACATTTTTGATGATTATATATAACCTTGGTGTATGATGGGCATTAGTGAACTTGGCAATATTTTCACACTAATAGCTTCTTGGTATTTAAAGGACTTTCTGTTGGTTTTCAACTTACTGAAAGAATCATTTCCTTATTGGATTTAAGAACTTCATTTAAGAAATTAAATAAGATATTATAAGTATTTCTCTTAGAAATATTAGATTTTGATTAGATGGGTATTAAATGAAAACCCTTATTATATCATATTAAATTTTCATAAAAATAGAATCCATGTCTTCTTCCACCAATCACCCCCTTTGTCAGAGACATGCATATCACTGATAATTGATCATCGGTTGATCACTTCTTTGTGTATATACATATGTATACTTTATTCCCTGGTATTATGACTTTATATTATCATATAAATGGTATCTTTCTCTGTATATTGGTCTGCAGCTTGTCTTTTTTTAGTTTTTTTATAATAGCTCCAATTGCAACTTGTCTTTTTTTACTTATTATTATTGTGAATTTTTCCTGTATCAATAATGTGAATCATGCATTAAGAATTCTTTTATTGAAGTATATCAGATAAAAAATTGCTCAAATCCCAAGTATACAGCTTCTGAATTTTCACAAAGTGAACATACCAATGTAATCAGCACTCAATTATCTTTATAAATCATTGCAGACATCTTCCTAGTCAGTTCTTGTCCTCCCAAAGATAAGAGCTCTGCTGATACCTGAAACTATAGATTAATTTTTCTTGTTTCCTAATTTTATATAAATGGAGTCATACAGTACATACTCTATTATGTCTAGCTTCTTTGGCTCAATATTATTTTATGAAATTCACCCATATTATTGAATGAGGCAATAGTGAATTCATTCTCATTATAGAATGATGTGTTTCATTGTAGGATTAATACTGCAAATTAATTATCCTTTCTGCTTTTGATGACATCCAAGTCGATTTCCAGTTTGGTGCTTTTATTATACTTGATCTTAGCCAAAAGGCCGAGAAGCAATTGCTACTGTTATTAATAGTGCTGCTGTGAACATATGGGGTCATCTTTTATTTCTGACCCATATCTAGAAAATACTTTTCTTCAAAAGCCTTGGTTTCATTAGTATGAGATTATATGTGTGTATGTATATTTGTACACCTACTACCTATGAATTCTGATATTTAAAAATCAAATTCAGGACTATATAAGGACTAAAATAATTCTGTATTCTACCTCTGCCTCTTTTCTTCCACAATGAAAAATAATGCTTTTCAAAGACACAGGAGATGCTGTTTTTTAGAAAACTCATAATTACCAAGAATAAAAAAATCAAGTAGCAAATCTACAGTCCATTCTGGAAAGAAAGAAGGAAGGACTTTCTTATAATTTATTCATAAATATATTAATTACATACCTCATTTCAAAAATAAATGAAAAATCACATGCTGTATTTTGTAGGTGTGAAGAATCCCTCTTTTTGAGTTTTGCAGAATGTATCTGATTGCAAAACCAAGAGAGGGAGATGATAGAGAAAAAGGATGAGACCACTTATATTCATCACTGGAAAAACACCTGCTTCTTTAAAAATGTATTATTTGTGTAGTAAATAAGTCACTCGGAAAACCATGCAAATTAAGGGATGTGTTTAACCAGTTAAATGTTTTTGTATTAACAGTGGCTAGGCTATTTATCTTTATTTAAAATTTTTACTTTTTAATTGATGTTATAACTGCACATATTCATGGGGTATAGTATGATATTTGAATATGTGTATGCAGTACATATTGATCAGATCAAGATGATTAGTATTTTCATTTCCTTATCATTTCTTTATGTTTGGAACCTTTGAACTCCTTTCTTAAAATACATCATAGGTTATTGTGAGCTGTATCACTCCACTGTGCTGTAGAACATTTCAAACATGTTCCTTCTATCTAACTGTGTTTATGTACCTGTTTGCCAATTTTCCTCTACCCCCAGCACCCCACTCCCAGTCTCTAGTAATTACTATTTTCCTTTTAGTTCAACACTTTTGTCTTCCACACATATGAGAGAGAATTTGATATTTGTCTTTTTGCATCTGGTTTATACCACTTCAGTTGTTCTCTTCTGGTTCTATCCATAACTCTGCAAATAACAGAGTTCCATTCGTTTTTGTAGAAGACTAGTTTTCCATTCTGTATATTTGCATTTTCTTAATCCATTCATCTACTCATGGTTATCTGGGTTGAGTCTACATCTTAGCTATTGTGAATAATACCATAATAAACATGGTAGTACAGATATTTCTTCCACATGCTGATTTGTTTCCTTCGGAAAAAGATCCAGAAGTGGGATAGCTGAACCATAAGGCAGATTTATTTTTAGTTTTTTTCAGAAAAGCCCCATGATATTCACAGTAATGGCTATTTTAATTTACATTTGTACCATTAAAGTATATAATAGTTCCTTTTTTCCAAAATCCTCACCAGAATTTGTTACTTTTTACTCTTTTTGATAATAGTCATTCTGGCTTGGTGAGATTATATCTCATGATGGTTTTGATGTACTGTTCCCTAGTAGCTAATGATATTGAGTATTTGTCTAGTATTTTAAACATTTATATTTCTCCTTTTGAGAAATCTATCATTTGCCTAATTCTTAATAATTTGTCTTTGAGGTTTTTTGGTTCTTCACATATTCTAAATTCTGATCCTTTGTCAGATGTATAATTTGCAAATATTTTCTCCAATGATGTTGGTTATCTCTTCATTTTCTTGGTTGCTTCTTTTGCTATGTAGAAGCTTCTTAGTTTGATATACTCCTGTTTAACTATTTTTGTTTTTATTGTCTCTGATTTATGGGGTTTTACCCCCAAAATTGTTGCCATTGCCAATGTCTTGAGATGTTCCCATATATTTTCTTCTAGTACTTTCACATCTTACAGCTTATATCTTTGAGTGCCTTTTTGTACAGACTTGGAGGTGAGGGATGGGTATGGGGGTACAAAGTGTTTGTTCATTCTTCAGTATGTGTTTTTAGCACTTTTGCCACAGCTGGCTATAGATGCATAGATTAATTGTGGGTATCTTAATTATGTTCCATTAGTCTACATATTGGTTTTTATACTAGTAACATGCTGTTTTGGTTGCTACATCTCTAGTGAGATGGCATTGGTACATGCCACCTTGATGGGATTGAATTGGAATCCCCTGGTATGTTTCTAACTCTACCGTTTGAGGTAAGTCAGCTTGAGCATGTCCCGAATTGCACATCTCTTCCCTCTCTTATTCCCACTCTTATATTTAACAGTGATC